CAGCATTTTATATGACACAACCTGATAGTTGACTTTTACAACTATTGCAAAGTCTGCAGATTTCACTAACTTCCATCTGTTCTAATTACATTCTCCGGGGCAGATGTATTTTAACTGAAAGTTGGTAACCCGTGCAAACACTCAGGCCCCCGCTGGAATGCCATTCACCTGTTTTATAAGCCAGGTGTAGCTCAGTGTTAAGGAAGGAGCGGGTTGGAGAATGCCGAAGATTTGCATTAATTTGCAGTTTCATTTCCAAGCCTTGCAATAGGAACAGGCGGCTTGCTCCGCGCAGGGCCTGGTCCTACGTGCCGGGAGGAATCCGGGTGAACCTGCGGCCACTTCCTTCTCGGCGCCCCTACTCCCCCAGACCTCAGCACCCCAGGCGAGATCCGCGGCTGGACCTCCGGCTTCAGCAACTCCTGGGCGGAGACGCCGCGCACACCTTGGGCCAAGATATGCCTGACGCTGTTTTTCTGAGCCTAACTGTTCGCTCATATACATGGTTTGTTAAGCAGCGGGAGTGCAACAGGCTCTCAGTCACAGAGGAACAGAACGCACAAAACAAAAGCAAACATCATCCCTTTCCTTTCCACGAGGAGGCCAGCTGACATGGCGGCTCCGTGGCTTAGCTGGTTAAAGCGCCTGTCTAGTAAACAGGAGATCCTGGGTTCGAATCCCAGCGGGGCCTTTTGTCATTTTCCCATTCTTTAGAATTCTAACCATAAAGGTCAGGCTAATTGTATGTTGGAGGTTGTTGTCCCCAAAGTGACTCTTCAAACTCATTTATCTCGATGAGAGGTGACTTCTGTTATAGGCAAAAAGGGTTCCCTAGCCAGTCTCTCATTATGAAAAAGAATTCCCCCATTTCCTGATTTGCGCTTGTGTTTTTATTCCATGGAACAACATTTTGTTCATCAAATACGACAGGAATCAGTGAAGCAGAGGGACACATCACCACATCTGCACTCCAAGCATTTTGGTCATTTTGTTTTCTTTCCTGGGGAAGTCCCAAGCAGATACACTCTTGTGATCGGCAATAAGAGTTTTAGAAAGGCTGGTGTGGGAATGAAGGATGACCCGGTAGAGGGTTACAGCAGCTCTGCCCACCCACGGAGGCCAGTCAAATTCAATCATATGAAACAGACGGAATAAGATGGCTTTTTGTTGTTGTTGTTAAGTTTATTTGCACTGATAGGTTTTTCTTGGGTGGGGGAGCTGGGGGAGAAAGACTCAGAGTGAAAATTAATATTGGTCACCATGCATTGAGGAAAGCAGCGGTTGCCGAAGTACCTAAGGCAGTGGGTAGCGGCCAGGAAAGGCAGATTTTAACTCTGGCCAGGGCTGAGTTTCCACTTCTCCAAAACTCTTCAAGAGGGAGAAGGAAGTCAGTGTTACTCCTATTCCTACACAGAGACACCAGATCAGGAAACTGGAAGTGGACTGTAACTACTGCTCATCCCGTTTTTCTTTCTTTCTCTCTCTCTTTCTTTCTCTCTCTCTCTTTCTTTCTCTCTTTTTTTTTAACATTAGATTAAGCTTTATTTTAGTATTGAAATTCCTCCCATCAGCCAACAAGTCCCAGGCCAAACCCAGCAATGCTGGTTCAATTCTGAGTGAATTCCCAAGAATTCCTGAGCCTGCAGCAGCAGGGAACCTGGGAGTTAGCACTGCCCTCCCCCCCAAGACCCGCCAGACACCCCTGAGGAGCTTCCAGGTACACCCTCCCTGACCCTCCTAGCTGCCTTGCGCCTGCGGCCTGGAGGGCCACCCCATTCACTCAGTACCATTTTCATGGGTGTCATCCTCTCTTGCCCAGACCCGCCCAGGCCCTGTATCCGGACTAGGTCACAGCCTCTGCTACCTGGGGGAGGGAATGAGAGACGGGGACAGGGTGAAAGGTGGGGGCAGTGAAAGGTAGCGAGAAGGTGAAAGGTTGAAGGTTTAAGGTGAAGAGGGTGTTAGCTTTTTCCACAAACCCAAGACACCTGACACAGCAAGTGAGAGGCCTTTATCTCAGCGAGGGAGGTAAGGTCGGGGTGGGGAGAAAGCAGAGCAGAGAGAGAGCAGAGCAGAGACAGCACAAAGAGAGAGAGAAAGACTAAAAGCAATGCAGAGAGAAGAGCTGAGAGACAGAGAGCAGGAGAAAACAAGAGAGAGAGCAAAGGGAAGAGGTACCTTTATAGCCTCGAGGTGAGTATGGGGAGTGCCAAGTCAGGGACGGGCAGATGCAGCTGTAGGTCCACACCAGGGATATACACCTCACAAGGGATTGGTGAAGTGCACAGTTTAAACCTGAAGGTCACTAAGCTTAATTAGGCAAGTGGGCCTTAAGGGGGTTGAGATCTAGGAGGTTTACGGTAGTGCTGGGTAACCAGGTATTCAAGGGGACCGAGACCTAGGGGATTTAAGGCAGCACTGGGTCAGCAGGCATTCAAGGTGGCACTGAGTCCAGGATGGTGGGGTCAGTCTTGGGGTGACTGAGTCAGTCCTTACATTGGGGTGAGAGCTGGAAAGGAGGTGAGAGGTGGGGAGGGGGTGAGAGGTGAGGAGGGGGATGAAGGGAGGGGAGGGGGGGGTGAGAGGTGGGGTCCTGGAAGGGGGTTCCAACTTGTAGACCACAAGTTGCAGGCCTTACTAGTCTCAATAACAGCACGGCCAGCTCCTTACAAACTCTCTTGCTAAGCAGACTGTTGATTCCCTTTCTCTGAGAAGCCTGCCTAAGACAAGTGAGTACTCCACTTTTTGCCAGGCATCTTTTAACCACTCCATGAACACCCTACATCTTGGTTCTGACCAAGGTGTACTTAATTCCTAATTGTAAAGAGGAGAGTGCCCAGGCCCAACAATGCCAAGTTCCCTGCCTACAAGATCACTGCCAGCTTCTCAGTGGCAGAGCCCAGGATGAGCCCAGTTGCCAGGATTGAGCTGAACCAACCTGCCCCCTCCCAAGCTCTCTAAGTGCACTTGCCACCCTAGGTGCTTCTGCTTGCCATTTTCCTTACACTGTTGGAGCTCAAATGGAGACAAAGTCATACTTAACCTTAAAATTGGGATGGGTAGATGTGTAATAAACATATGGCCACTTGGGCAATAAGAAGAGACTCTGCTCTTTGCCAGCCTTATTAACAATGACAAAATTTAATTTCTAGGATACATAAAATCACTTTTCTTTCTGTGTATACGTGGCTATCATTTTGGGAAATTTTGGAAAGCAGGAATTAATATTGAACTAATGTACTGCAAAGCCCCAATGAATTAAAGACCTCAGCTGACAGGAATATCCTCCTTACCATACCTTTTGAAAAAAGGAATTCAATCTAATGTCTGATTACAAAAGCAAAATATAGTGTGGATTTGTTGTACGATAGTCAGTATTCAGAATCTTGATGCCATTCCTGCCTTCCAAACCACAAACAATGTTCTAATTGAGAGATCTGCCAACCTGAATTTGGCGGATATTCCTGGAGATGTTGCTGACCCAGAACTTCTGTGTTCTGAAATGCAAAGTTGGTTGTTGGGGTTGAAGTGAACTCACAGCAGATCTCTAAGCTTCAGTCAAAAGCAAAACTCTAGGTGTGTACAGAGCATAGCTGTGCCAAAGCAATCAAGGACCAACAGAATTAGATCTGTGACAGAGACATTTATGTACATTAAAAATACAGGCTCTCAAACCATGTGCATGCTCTACAAAACATACATGCCTTTTCCAGTGATGGAGGGAAGGAGGGAGGCAAATGAGTGAGGAACAGAAATTAAAAAGGGAAAAACAGTGCTTAAACACACAAAATGAAGGAGAGATTCTTGAAGATATCAGTGAGAAGAATGAATGCTACTGAAGAGTTGCATTCATTTAACTGCCTTCCAAAGGGGGAGATTAAAGTACAGAAAAATAGAGAGAGGAGATAAGTTAAATAATCACCATCCTTCAAGTTATTTTGTGAGAACACTAGAGCTATTCTAAACGTAAAATCATTTTTGTTGTTGTTCGTTAATGTTTTTATTTATTTATTTAAAAAAATTTTTTTACAATTATTACATAGTTAATCAAAATAGAAAGGATTGAGGGTTAGGGATAAATGGGTAAAATCATTATTTCCAAGTTTGTTATTCTTGTTTCTGGGGGAAGGGGAGAGATAAAGGGAGAAGCCACACCCAGCTTCCCAACTGTCCCAGTACCCAGGGATGGGGAACCGCCACCGGATATTCACCATAGCAGAAGAACAGAGCAAGTTGGACGAGTACCCCAGCCAAACAATGAGAGCAAGGATCTGTTTGAAGGGAGACTTCAGGTTGACTATGTCAGCCAACGGATTGGGAGGGCTGCCAAATCCGTAGATCAGCGAAATCGACAGCATTTTGGAACTATCCAAACTACTTGGGCAGAACCCTTGGAGCATGCACACACCGGGACTCTGGGTGGATATCAATAATGTTTTAGAAGTGTAGCTGTTGCTTCGAACCGGGAAAAAAAAAATAGATTGAATGTGGTGTTTTTAACCTGGGAGGAAAAAGCGACTTGTCAGGAGTGGGATTCGAACCCACGCCTCCAGGGGAGACTGCGACCTGAACGCAGCGCCTTAGACCGCTCGGCCATCCTGACTAGCTGGGTAGCGGTGCCGCTCAGACTCTATTTCAGTCAGTGTATCCACGCCAGCCGCTTGTTTTCTTTCAACATAAGTGGATTCTTAAGTTAAGGCTAAGCCGCCACTCGGCGACAGCGGAGGACCAGGCAAACGCGCCTGCGAGCGCCCGCACAGACTGGGGGAGCGCCGGCGGCCGGCACCGCAGCGACTCCTGCAGCCCCGGGCGGCCCTGGGATTACTCAGATCCACCACGTCACTCACATTTCCACCCGGAACAAGGAAGCGCCTCAGGAACCAAAAACGTCACCGGATAGACGGGACTCTGCCCACCAATGGCAAGCCCGGCTGAACATCCCTGACCTTGTTTGGACCTAAACCGAGGGCGCAGCAGCTGCCGCGCGCTGTTTGAAGAGCATCAACACCTCGCTCCTCGCTCTCGGTGCCCGCGCGCCCTTTCCGGCCCCTTCCTCTTTCCTGCAGGTAGGTAGTGGAGTGCATTACGGCCATCTGTGGCTTAGAGTACAGGGAGCATGGCGGCCACAGACACGCCTGGGGCCCAGAATTGCCATCTTCAGAAAGTATGCTTGAGTTTCTGTCAGGATTTTCCTTGAGGTGTGTGTAAACCGAAAATTTACAAGAGTAGGTTTGTAGCTAACTCATGAAAAGCAGAATGTAGTGACCCTTCCGCGAGTCGCATTCTGTCCCTGTGGACAGCAGGGCTGGCTGACCTGTGGGTATTCAGACTGGGGGGGCAGAGAGAAAGCATGGTACTCAACCACCGTGTCCGGGAAGAGCAAGTTCGAAACACAGCCGCCGGTTATCAAGGATTACCATTAAAGTTTTCCTCAATGCTTCTTCTTCCTTGTTAATCTAAAGAGCTGGCTTCATGTACTTAGACCATTGACCATTTATGTGTATCATGGTAGCGATGAGGTGACTCCTTACACAAACAGGGGCGTAGGGTAGGCGACCACAGGCAGTGTGGCCTTTTCCTCGGTGGCTTGATTCTGTGCCTCCCTGCTGCCCTCAGGCAGCATGCAGAAGGACACCTTTTTTGGCCAGTTACATTTCCATGCAGGTTCTTTCCCGTTTGGGTTCGGGTCTGCTTGTTGTGTTTAAAGAAAGCAAGGCTTAGAGGCTGCTTTCAGCAGTCAGACACATTTATTAGGTGCAGACCATGGGAACTGCTATCCTGGAAGTTGAAAAGACACACAGTGGAAAGTGTGAACCTGGGTGAACTTGCAGTCCAGGAGTGAGACAAACCACTAAGATACAGGAAAGTACTCAGGGCAAATATAAACAGATGGAATGAACCCAGCTGTGCTGAGCATGGAGACACAGTGCCGGGATCCCTGGGGAGGTGCAGCACATGGCAGAGCTGGGCAGGGAGCTGGTGGTGGCCGTTCAGGGAGGAAGACAAATGATGGTGTGTGAGGGTTTACATAATTGGAAGAGGATGGAGGGGCCTGAGGCTGAGTCAGTGGCTTGATAGGATGCTTCCTGCAGAAATCTGTTAAGTAGAGGGCTTATGCTAGAGCACAGAGAATAAGAGAATTTGAAACTCATGGAATCAACCAAGTAAGGTTAGCTTGATCTGCAGACCCGGCAAAACATTAGGGACAGAGAGAGGCACAGAGGTTGAGGTGCAACCGTGCAGATAACTTGGAGCTGTCTCCTCCATCACACTTTCTGCAGGGCCCACTGACCTGTTCATGTCTGCTCTTCTACCCCCGGCTCAGCTGCCATATAAGCGGGGTCAGCTTCCTCACTTTCACAGGATGTGGTTTAGAGAAATTAAGAGCTAGGTCTACAAACTTCAGGGGTATGCTAGGGGAACATTGGTGGCCTGGGCTCACATCTCTTGGCTCTGTTCTGATATTCCCTTAGGGCTCTTTTAAGGAATTTCAACCTGAAACCATCCTTCCCCAGAATCCTTTGGATTTGCCCAAAATGCATCCATTCATATACCCTTATTCTGGATACCAAAACATTTCTGCCATAACCCCATGTCAACCTAACCCCACCTTGAATCTAAAGGTATCTATCCTTTGAATTTATCCCAAAACCCTTCCCTGTGGTTTCTAACCATACGTGACAGGAAGATACTAATAATAGTTTAAGAGTCACCCATCCGTGTTAGGAAAATTGGTACAGAAGCAAGTTGGTCCTTCTCCCTACTCCATGTAGCAGCAGCATCAACAAAAGCCAGCATAACCATCCCAAGACAAATTCATTGCTGCCCAACAAGAAAAGCAAGGCGTGGTTGACACAGGTAGACTCAGGGTGATGGAGAAGAAGGTTTGAGCAAAGAAACTGAGCTAAGTTGGACCATTCCTTAAGGTGCCCCTTGGCTGGCTTGGGCAGGGATTAGTTTAGAATGGAGAGTGTCTGTGTCCCCCGAGGCAGTGTCCTCCCCCATGGGGGACAATGGGATATCTTTAGAGAGCCCCTGGGCCTCAGTGATCACTGGGACCTCCTCAGGCCCACCAGCAGTGGAGCAGATGGTCAGGGGCTTTTTACCACAGGACCACAGGCAAAAGAAGGGCCGGACGGGACCAGAGAGGGAGACGTTGGGGAAAGTATAGATGTGGGAGCCATCAGCCATGTTGTAGAAGGAAATGTCACCTGCATCATAGTCCAGGAAAATTCCAACTTTGCGAGGGGGGCCTCCCAATGGGAGAGGAGTCCGGAGCGGGGTGAGGGCCCAGTACCCATTTCCATACAGTTCTACAGCCCAGAAGCCATTCTCAGGCGTCATGGGGTCAAATCCTTTCTTGACCACGTTCTCCCTGCACACGCCAATGGCCCAGTCGGTCCTGTCCCCCACCTCTACCTCCCAGTAGTGCCTGCCCGAGGTGAAGGCTTCACGGCCCAGCACACAGGGCCAGGAATCAAATCGCTCTGCCTTTTCGGGTAGTTTCTGACGTGAGTCTTCCAACCGTACAGATTTTGAATCTTCATACAGGAAGAGGTGCGGGTGGGCTGTGTCTGGATCCAGAGTCACATCCACTGGGGAGAAAGAAAGCTGGTGTGACTATAAGTGAAGGTGACGGGGCCAGTCCCTTCTTCCACGGAGATGAAGTATGTTCTTGGAGTTGAGGGTCTCCCGAGGCCAGGGGCTGCTGCTCAGAGGTCTCCATTTCCCTGGCCCATCCCTAATGGGCAGCTGTGGGGGATATAAGGGCCAACTGTCCCTGAGGGGGCTCTCTTAGGAGCGCCTGTCTCTGGGCCACCTGCAAGGATCCTCTGTGTGCCTCTAGGAAAGTGCCAAGGCCCTTGGTGCCCCCTCCACTGTCTGCTCACTGAAGTGTTTTCATATCTGCTAGTGTTCTCATATCCATATGGCATACAGTTGGACACAGAAACCCAGAGCCCTTGAGAATTCACAGCCACTGACCTGCATGCAGTGTGGCCTTTTTCCATTCTGCAATGAAAGAGAGATTGTCACTGACAGGTTATGCAGTAAGACAGAAAACCTTGTGACAGAAATAGCAACAAGAAGACAGAACTTACTGAGTTCCTCCAGGAGTTTCTCTGGAAAACAAACAAAAAATCATTCAGTGGCTTTTTCTTGTGAATGTGAGGGCAAGAACAAAGCTGGTGTGGAAGACACATGCAAAGCAGAGATGGTTTACTTCATGATTGCATAATTCACGGTTATCAAGAAATCCAAAATAAGAATTGGGTTTTGTTCTGTTTCCTAGGAAATATACAGGAAGTTCCCCCTGGAGTTGGATCAGATCTTTGATAGCATGATCATGACTGGGAATTGGAGTTAGAGGTGGGGACAGCACCTGGGAGGAGATGGAAACCAGGCCCCAAATCTGACTTCTCAATTAGAGCTTGTTTGACTCTGTGACCCACACTTTTGTTCTTTCACGTTGGGTGTCTGTGATTTCAGGGCCATCAGAAGCCTACTCAAGTTACCGAGTTCTATAGTCAAATATCTTTCTGTTAGAGGCCATTCTGCAGCACTTGGCGTCAGCTCCCCTCACAAGCACTCCTGGCAGGTAGCCCTTGTGGAGTCCATGACTTACCTTTAGAGCCGAATGCCTTCTTTCTCTCTTGGGCTCTTTCTTTGTATAATCTCCAGATGAAAAACATGGACATGAGAGTGAGAAGTCCTAGGATTATCAGAACAACAGCAACAGCCACCACCCAGAGAGGCAGCCTTGGGAAGAAGCGAGCTAAAACAAAATGCACAGAGAGGAACTTTACTGAGAAACTCAAAGCCAGTCCAGCCGTGCCACCTCTCCCATGGCAAAAGCAGTCACTCCAAAGTTACTGTGTGCAGAAACATTTAACTCTGAACAGGAGTGAGCGGGGGTGAGGGGGGGATGCAGTCCCTTGGGGATTGTACGCGTAAAATAAAGACTATAATGGGCCAATTCATGTCACTATAGAAATTTGTCTTTGCCAATGCAGAATGGGAGCCAAAAGGTAACGAGGAAAAGAGACTTCTGTGTGTGACAAAATAGGATTCATTGACCAAAGAACAAGGAAAGCTTCCTGCCTGAACAATGTGAGGATTTGCTTCCTTGAGGGCTCGGAATCAAGACAGTGCTCCAGCATGGAGTGAGGATGGGACTGGGGGAGGAATGGAAATAGTGAAACTAAATAAAGGAACTTTGTTTATTTAAAGAGCAAAGGCTCTGGACTAGAAATATTCCAAGGGGTAAAACTTCTGGGGCACAGTACAATAACAGTTCAGTAAATCCTTGCCTTTCATGCACAGGGATCCCATATGGAAACCAGTTCATGTCACAGCTGCTCCACTTCCCATCCAGCTTGCTGCTTATGGTTGGGAAAGCAGTGGAGGATGGCCCAAAGCTTTGGGACCCTGCACAAATGTGGGAGACCATGTAGAAACTCCTGGCTCCTGGGTTCAGAAAGGCTCAGCTATAGCCATTGAGGCCATTTGGGGAGTAAATCAACAGATGGAAGATTTTTCACTTTTTTTTAAAAAAAACATTTATTTTTATTGCAAAGTCAGATATACAGAGAGGAAGAGAGACAGAGAGGAAGATCTTCTGTCCAATGACTCACTCCCCAAGTAGCTGCAATGGCCAGACCTGAGCCTGTCCGAAGCCAGGAGCCAGAATCTTCCCAGGATCCCCTACATAAGTGCAGAGTCCCAAGGCTTTGGGCCATCCTTGGCTGCTTTCCCAGGCCACAAGGAGCTGGATAGGAAGCGGGGCCACTGGGATTAGAACTGGCTCCCATATGGGATCCCTTGAACAGTGTGTTCAAGGCGAGGACTTTAGCCACTAGGCCACCGTGCCAGGCCCATGGAAGACCTTTCAATTTATACCTCCTCTCTGCAAATCTGCTATTCTAATAAAAATAAATTTTAAAAAATGAAGAGAAACTTCTGTATCTCTGACTCTCCTAAAAAGGAAAACCTGAGGTTTTGATGGTAAATATGTTGAATTTATGCCTTCAGAATCTTTACTTTTCTAATGAATTTGGTAAGATTCTCTCCAGTCAGCAGGAAAAGGACCGAGGAGGGAAAAGTAGGCAGCTGTGCGATGGGGTTCTTTCTGGACAGTTGTCCCAGGCAGTGTAGCACGGGAAGCAGCAGTGCGTGCACTGACCTGGTACAGCAATCCCTGCTTCTTTCTCCTGGTCCAGAAGGGAGTTCCGGATGCAACAGGATATGTTCCTCAGGGAGATGTCTCTGATGACCATCGAGGCAGCCACTGTGAACAGGCCTTCTTCATCAGCATTCATGGACTCTGATGCAGATGCAAGTTTCTCTCCCTGGGATGTTCTCCACTCCATCTGGGGCTCTGGGTACCAGCCCGCTGAGGTACACTCCAGGCGGATCTCTCCACTGTCTTGAATTTCCATATGGATATGAGGATCAGAGCCTAGAGCTGATGGGAGAGATTCTGTCCTTAATACTCTAGTGTACGCCCATAGAGCTACAGGGTTTGAGAAAGAAGAGAGATGGTGCAAGTCGATTGGGAATGGGTGGGATTCATGTCCATAACAAACCACTTAAGGTAATGGAGCATCAGTGCAAGGAATTTCAGCTATCTTTGCAGAGAGTCATTCCTTACTGCAGTCTAGCCTTTGAAATTAAGGCAGAAATGAGCAGACATGGGGGTGATTACTTAGCCAGCAGGAACAGGAAGACCAATGGCTTACAGGCAGGTTAGTGAAGGAGGCCAGGGCTTCAGAACTGGGAGAGAGCTTTGTGGTTATGAAAAGTCTCTGCGGGGGGAGAAGGAGAACGAAAACTGAGTATTCGAACATGGACAGAGAAGGAGTATCATTGAGAGGCAAGAAACAATAGGCATCTTCATTCTGTTTTGTTCTGTGCCCTGAGACTAGTCAACAATTCAGTTTCCCTTTGAACGTGATGCTGGCTCAAGGATTTTGTTAAGGGTTTCAACCGATGTTCCCTTGTCCCGTAAACCCTAACACAGAGCAGCAGCACTGCTGTTTTTTTCTGTCTGTTCAACCTTAGAAAACCACATGTATGCAGACACTGGTCTACATTCATATTTCAAGTTTGTACAGGTGACTATAATACTCTCTACATGAAAAGAGCTATCATTTTCATCAGATTTCAAAGGCACCTGCCATTTATAAAAGGCAACAGCAGCTTGATGTCATCAAATCTCTAGGCTTTGGGCCCAGCATGATAGCCTAGTGGCTAAAATCCTCGCCTTGAATGCGCTGGGATCCCATATAGGCGCTGGTTCTAATTCTGGCAACACTGCTTCCCATTCAGCTCCCTATTGTGGCCTGGGAAAGCAGTAGAGGACAACCCAAAGCCTTGGGACCATGTATCTGCTTGGGAGATCTGGAAGAAGCTCCTGGCTCCAGGCTTCAGATCAGCAGATCTCCAGCCGTTGTGGTCACTTGGGGAGTGAATCATCAGACAGAAGATCTTCCTCTCTGTCTCTCCTCCTCTCTGTATCTGACTTTCCAATAAAAATAAATAAGTCTTAAAAACCTCTAGGTTTTTATGTGTTTGATAGATTTTTCATGAAAATATGAGTTATAAACGATCCTGCCACAGGGGGCACTGTTGTGGAGATCCAAATATGCAATTATTTTTTCAAACTTTGTCTCTGAATACGTACAAGGAATCTACTTACATATTATGCATTTTTAGCTTATTCAAAGTCACAGAAGTAACACAAGTATACAATTGACCAAGGCAATTTCTCATATATTCCACTTATAAAATTTTGCTTCATTGTTCCCAAGCCTTGCTGGATAAATGTTTCTCCAGTTTTGAGGTAGAAAAAGCTGCTTAAAAGAGGATTTAAGGGCCCGGCGCGGTGGCGCAAGTGGTTAAAGGTCCTCGCCTTGCACGCCCGGGATCCCATATGGGCGCCACTTCTAATCCCGGCAGCCCCGCTTCCCTTCCAGCTCCCTGCCTGTGGCCCGGGAAGGCAGTCGAGGACGGCCCAAAGCTTTGGGACCCTGCACCCGCGTGGGAGACCCGGAAGAGGCTCCTGGTTTCGGATCGGCATAGTATCGACCCGTTGCGCTCACTTGGGGAGTGAATCATCGGACGGAAGATCTTCCTCTCTGTCTCTCCTCTCTGTACATCCGCCTTTCCAATAAAAAAAATAATAAAAATAAAATCTTTTAAAAAAAAAAAAAAAGAGGATTTAAAGCCAGCCACTCTCACGTGAGAAAGGCAGGTCCTGGGGCATATTTTCCTCGCTAAATGCTAACCACTTTCTTTACCATTTCAACCTGAATTTTGGCTTGAAGGAAAAAAAAGCGAAACAAATAAGGATTTTTTTTTTTTTCTAGATGGGTGCAGACTATTAGCTACATAATCCCTACAGGAGCTTCAAAGATTGAGGGGTGCTTGCCATCAGCCTCAGTGATGGTGAAACAGACATAACTTAGACACTCCGTTCAGGGACTTTTTTTAAGTAAACTAAAGCTGTATTCTTTTGGAAGAATGCTACCCAGCCACATCTTATAATTGTTTAACTATTTCCTCAGGGGAGTGCTCCATCTGGGATTGCGGGAGATGGTGGGAGATCATTGAAGTAAAGCTCTATAGCATAGGCTATGCCCTGCCCTTAACCTCCTGTCCACTGGTCTAGTCCAGGCCTGCCAACCCCTCCATCTGATGGTTTCCAAGGTAACTGTAACAAAGGGAAACAGAACATGGAAGGCTCCAGAGGAGGTCGAAGCCCTCTGTGCACTCACCGGTCACGCTCAGGCGCACGGCGGCCTCCTGGTAGCTGGAGTCCTCTCTGAAGACACACCGGTACTCGCCGTCGTCGGAGGCCCTGACGCCTCGGATCCTCAAAGCCGCGATCCCCTCGGCGAGCTCCTCCGGCACCAACGTGGCCCTCCCGCGGTACTCGGGCATCTGCTCGTCCTCCAGGTCACGTCCGGCCTGGTACACCAGCACGGCAGGCGAGAAGGTATGTCGGAACCACCGCAGCTCCACCTGCTCGGCGCTCATGTTCACGGACAGGTGGCAGGGCAACTCTGCGTCGCCACCCACCACGGCTAGGATGGGCTCCAGAGGGCTGAAGGCTTTCGTGGGAGCTGCCAAAGATGATTAAACAAACAAAAGCAACCCTGAGTAGATTCAGGCAGGACATGCGGATGACACAGCCCCTGTGCTTGCTGCCAAGTCCCTGTACTAACTCTCATGCCAGTGACCACATGAGAGATTCTGAATACTCATGCATGGGGAGAACAGAAGAGGACCACTTACATGCAGGGAGACGCCCAGCTCTGCAGTCCTGAGAGGAGACTCACCTGCATCCAGGATGGGCAGCAGCAGGAGGATGAGGGTGAGCAGACACCTGGGGAGGGTGCTGGGGGAAACGGCCATCTCCCTGCACTCTGGGCCAGCAGCACACAGTCCCTCAGGAGCTCCAGCCTAGGGGAGGCATGCGTAGGGGTCACTGTGGGTTCTGCAGGGACCCCTATTCTCCGCACTCCTTCTCACAATTCCTCCAGTCTTACATCCTCGTCCGCCTGCTCCCCAGTGGAGATTTTTCAGCCCATGATGACATCAGCACCAACCCATTCCCTAAAGTTAATCAACAAGCTAGGCCCTGAAACCCCCAAAAAGAAGTCCGAGAAGAGAGGCGTTTTACCATTACTGGGTGGCGTGAAAATGAATAAATCTTAGAACCACTATGCTGAAAAAATAACCGCCTATTCTAAATACAATAATTTAACATTTGCTTTTAGCAATAAAAGAAGATGAAGGCCATGGAAACAAAGATGGGAAACAAGGAAATGAGACAAAATAAAGAAACAAAAATGGCAGAAGATAAGCAAGAAAGGGTAGCTGAAGAGTAATCAGAAAGCTTGGAGGTCAGGAGGAAGGCAAGGAGGGGCCCACCCTGCTCTGCTGGCTACCCACCCTCCCAAGGGCGCGCACCAGCTGGCTGGTCTTGGAGGAAAAGGCTCCAAGAGTGGCTGCTACCAGATGAAAAGGTGGTGTGGCCCTGTGGGCAAAAGTTAAAACCCAGCAGCAGGAAGGGGAAGTGTTCTCAGAAGACCTGCCCCCAGGTGGCCTGGTGATTTACCTTGGAAAGAAGTTTTCCAAAGAAAATGAAAGCTGACGCTTTTGACAAGTGGGGCTAAATTAAAAGGGATCGAGAGAAAGAGGGTTATAGAAGAAAAGGAAGAGGGGATCACTGAAATTCTCAAATGAGTTGTGAGGCCTCCAGCCAGTTAATTTATCTCTTTTCCTCAGTTGTTTTTCTCTCTCTCAAAAAAAAAAGGGGGTGAGTGTGGGGGAAGGATCCAGTGCAGTAACCTAGTGGCTAAAGTCCTTGCATGTGCCAAGATCCCATATGGACATCAGTTTGTATCCTGGCTACTCCACTTCCCTTCTAGTTCCCTGCTTATGACCTGGGAAAACAGTCGGGGACAATCCAAAGCCTTGTGACCCTACAACCAAAAGAAGATCCTGGTTCCTCCTGGCCATTGTGGCCACTGTTGGATCAGCTCAGCTCTGGCCATTGCGGCCACTTGGGGAGTGAACCAGCAGATGTAAGATCCTTCTTTCTGTAAAATCTGACTTTCCAATTAAAATAAATAAATAAATATTTTAAAAAGGGGGGTTAATATAAATATTTCCCTCCCCTTAGAGTGTTGTTGGGAGTGAAGAACCTGTGTTTCCTGCTTTTATAATTTCTGCCTTACTTGCTTGGCTGGGGTCTGTGTGAACTCCAGGTCTGACAGTCCTACAGGATACCTGACTGGTCACATAGGCAGAGCACTGCTCAGGAAGGAGGCCCCTGCTGTTAGAAAAGGCCCTGCCTTGCAGCCCATCAGTTTGTACTTTTTGAAAGTTGCTTGCCTCAAACCCATCAATAAAAAAGTCTGCTAACTCGCTCTTTTTAAGTTAACAGATAAACTGACCAATCATGACTGTATAATTATATGGAATTGGCCTGAAATGTATAAAAACTGAGCTGTCGAACTTTGGTCTCTTTTCCCTTTTTTTTTTTTTTTTTTTTTTTTGCCCCTTCTGCTGTAGCTTCCGCTGCTGCCGCCCCAGCCCAATAGCTGGGAGCCTAGGTTGGTCTGAATAAACTGCCTTTATGCGTTTGCATTGACTTCAGACTCCTGATGATTTTCTGGGGATCTCAAAATCTGGGCACAACAGGAAGGTGAATTGAGATTAAGCAGAGAAAGAGCTTGGAAGATAGCAGAGGCTCTAAAGAAGGTCAGTTGTTAAGCTATTTTTGTTTTTTGTGAATTGAAAAATGAAAAGGCAGGTGCCAAGGCAGTTTCCCCTTTGTCAGGTGCCTCCTGAAGCTACTGACTCTGGTGCAGCTCGGCTGGAAGCAGTGGTGAAGGTTGGCTGGTGAGTGGGCCAGGACATAAAGTCCAATTGTAGTCCTAAAACCATCAACCTCAAGGCAGCTTGGGAGGCCTACTAGTTCTTACTTGGGGGATGATAATAAGTTATGAAAAAATATTTTAATATATATTTAATACTTATTTATTTTTATTACAAAGTCAGATATACAGAGAGGAGGAAAGAAAGAGAGGAAGATCTTCCATCCAATGATTCACTCCCCAAGTAACTGCAATTGGCTGGTGCTGCACACCGATCTGAAGCCGGGAACCAGGAACCTCTTCCTCCAGGTCTCCCACGTGGGTGCAGGGTCCCAAAGCTTTGGGCCATGCTCTATTGCCTTCCCAGGCCACAAGCAGGGAGCTGGATGGGAAGCAGGGCTGCTGGGAACAGAACCAGTGACCATATGGGATCCTGGCACGTTCAAGGCGAGGACTTTAGCCGCTAGGCCACACCGCCGGACCCTATTTTAATATTTTTATAAAGTGGAAGTCACCTTTCATGTAACAACTAATGATAGATCACTGTTCAATATAGTTCCTTTCAAATTTATGGTATGTCATGTAACAAAAACAATCAACGTGTTTTTTGATTATTCAAAAGTATTATTAATAGGCATATAAATGCCAAGACTGTTTTTTATTTCTAGCATAGATAATATAATTCTTAATTTTAAAATAATTTTTGATAAACAGTTAATAATCATACATATTTATGGGAGATAGTGTGGCATGTCAACACAAGGACACAGCATGATCTGCGCATATCAGAGTCAGTCACATATACATCTCATCATTCCTTTATGTTTGGACCCTTCCAGACCCTCTCGCTTATTTGTTCATAAAATATATAATAGATTATGATAAGCTATAGTTACCCAAATCTGTTGTGGAATAGATAAGGTACATTATATACAAGACTTTCTTCACAATTTTAAAAACTTCCTGATAAACTGCCTGATATACTTCCTGAAATAGAGTCGTGGGAGCCAAAGGGTGTGAGCTCCTGCCAGAGTCCCTTCCTGGAGTGACCCGTCCTTCTCACCAGCCCAAGGCCGCGCTAAGGCTTGTTGTTTCATCATCTTTTCATTGGGATGGATGAAATTGACCAAATATTATGCTTTTATATGGTTATTTTCATTTAGTTTTTTTAAAAGGTTTATTTTTATTGCAAAGTCAGATATACAGAGAGGAGAGTCCGAGAGGAAGATCTTCCATCCAATGATTCACTCCCCAAGTGACCGCAATGGCTGGGGCTGAGCCAATCTGAAGCCAGAAGCCAGGAACTCTTCCGGGTCTCCCACGTGGGTGCAGGGTCCCAAGGCTTGGGGCTGTCCTCGACTGCTTTCCCAGGCACAATCAGGGAGCTGGATGGAAAGCAGGGCCACTGGGTTAGAACTGGTGACCAGAATAGGATCCCGACATGTGCAAGGCAAGGACTTTAGTCACTATGCTATTGTGCTGGGCCCTATTTTCATTTGTTAATTAGCTTCTCAATGTTTTCTAGAAACAGCTTCTGAGATCAAGTGTCCATTTTTCCCCATTGTTTCCAAGACTGGCACTGATGCTATTTCTTACCTGTCTACATGAAATTTTTAAACATCAGAGATGTTCACACTGTACTATTTGTGTGACAGAAGTATTTCCTAGGCTTTTGTTTGCTGTGTAATTGGAATTACAGTTAAGACAAAAGATGATTTCCCCCAGTTGATCATCTCAGACTTCCAGAAGAATGATTTTTCTCCATTGCAAATGTTGCTGATTTGATTCAAAATCCAACCATGTCTCCTTAATAACCCCAGCACCAAGTTCAAGCAGCTGAATCTGGTCAAGATAATGCATTAGCCTGGCTTAATTTAGTGAGAAATACGCTCTGGTAGAATCCTGATTCCTTTTTCACCTCCTACCTCTCCTGCTCCATTTCTGCCTCCCTAACCACATTCCAGGAAGAATTCATAAGTGTGGCTGCCTCAACCCACAACTTCCACATCACGCAGCTTGTCTCCCCCTCTTGCAGAACACTCTGTCCCAGGCATGACAAACATCTGTGCTTCCCTCAAAAGCCCACTGGAGAGCTGCTCCTCCTGCAACCTCTTCCAGAAGCGATGAGATGCAGCCTCACTCTCAGTGCTTCCGCTTTGCTCGTTTGCCACACCTTCCTGAGATCCTGACACCCATAGGAGCTGCGAGAGGGAGCTCCCCAGCACAGTCAGCTTGGGAGAGAAACAGCTTTGAAATCTTAGGTTCTTACCGATAAATTTAAAGTAAATTGGAACATTTTACTTCTTGCATGTGGAATATGACATGCCTCTGGTCAGCCTTTGCCTCCTCTAAGTGGAATGAACTCTCCAGAAAACAGGTTCATCCTGGGGCACAGATAGCTTCCTGGCACTTCTCTTCTGGCACACACCTAAGCTGTGCCTGGCTTGGGAAGCAGGCGCATTTATTGTCATCCTTTGTTTCCCAATTTATCTTCCTTTCTTAAACTGCACTCTTGGGTTTTATACTCTCGTCTTGACTTCAGCAAGCAGATGGAAATAGAATTTTCATCTTAAATCATGTCCATTGGTTCTTGACTTTTCTGCCCTGATCTCCGCTCCTGTTAGGCTTAACTTTGTGAAATGCCTCTTAGAATCTGTTTCCTCTTCCTCATTTTACTTCTTTCATTGGTCTTCTCTGGTTAGACTTCTGATGCAGGCTTTGTATTCACAGAGGTGACTAGGGGTAAAAGAAGGCTTATACTTGCACCCAAGGGAGCCAACTGTAAAGAAAAGGCTGGGATAAGAAGAGCAAAAGCATTGAGAACCAAAACAATTGTAGAACAGCTACAATTGTGATTGGTTTATATCTGGGTCTTTCTTTTTAAGTTTATTTATTTTTATTGAAAAGTAAGATTTACAGAGAGAAAGATCTTGCATATGCTTATTCACTGCAACAGCTGTAACTGAGCTGGTCCAAAACCAGGAGCCAGGAGCTTCTTCCGTGTCTCCCATGTGGGTGCAAGGTTCCAGGACTTTGGGCCATTTTGGAATGCTTTCCCAGG